CATGGTCCAGTACCAAATTTGAGGGGCACATCTTTCTTTACTAGTTTGCGAGTCATTGATATCTCTCAGAATGAGTTCAATGGCCACTTGCCAGCTAAATTCTTTCAAAATTTGAAGGGTATGAAGGATATCCAAGAACAGCCAGCCGGTCCATACTATATTGGAGAGTTATATTACCATGATTCCATGATTTTAACAATCAAAGGATTGGAGAGAAATTTTGAGAAAATATTAGATATTTTCACAACTATTGATTTTTCAAGCAATCAATTCGAAGGACAGGTTCCTGAAGTAGTGGGAGAACTTAAAGATCTTTTGGTGTTCAACTTCTCTCATAACAGCCTAACAGGTCAAATCCCATCATCATTGGGGAATTTGTTAGCACTGGAATCATTAGATCTCTCATCAAATAAGATTGCAGGAAGGATCCCTATGCAATTAACGAATCTGATATTTCTTGCATTGTTAAATCTTTCTCAAAACAATCTCGTGGGTCCGATTCCTAGAGGATATCAGTTTGATACTTTCACAAATGATTCCTACATAGGTAACTTACAGTTATGTGGATTTCCATTGTCAAAGGAATGTGGCAAAAGTGAGGGAACAGAACCTCCTCCATCAATATTTGATGAAGATGATGATAATGGAAGAGCACTTACTTGGAAATTTGCAATGATGGGTTATGGATGTGGACTTGTGTTGGGATTGAGCATGGGATACATTGTATTCACAACAGGAAAACCAGCTTGGCTAGTGAAGATAATCCAGAGAGCCCCAAACCAAAAAGTCAGAAGGCAAATCCACAAAACTAGAGGAAGAAGAAATAAGCCAAAACAGCCACTACTCTAATGTCAGCTGTTTCATATAAATATAAGCAACTCTTCGAAGTTTGATAAGTAGTTTCCAATAAAGTTTTTAACTCTATGTATTCTTTTTTTTTTCCCACATAGTGACCTAGTTCTCAAGTGGTTAGGGTTCTTTACTTCTGTAGGATCTACATAGTGACCTAGTTGTTGAGTTCTATACTGGGAAATGTTTTGAGGTCCAAAGAGGAAATTCTAGATTTCATTATTGAAAGTTGCAGATCAGCAATTGGTTTTTTGTTTTGTTTAGCTCTTTGGATTAATTTTCGACAAATCTGGATTTGCTTTTCTTCTAGTTCATTCAATGCTTACTCATATTTACTATATAATCAGTACTAAAGATAAATACCAGTGATCTAATAAGTTCACTTTAAAGTTACTTCTCCACCTAATGGTGGTACTTAATTAGATTCTGATATATTGGGTGAGGAAGGCTGTTTTTTCCTTTTCGATTTGGTTTCCTAAATTACCAAAGGCAAGTGGAGGAAACTCACTACAAGCACCTCATGTATGTATTGGTTCCATCATTGTTTTCACTGCTACTTAACTTACAAGGCAATATATGTTGACCTACTTAAGCTTTGCAGTTTCTTTAATATTTATTTCTTTTAGAAGTAAAATTAAAATGCTGAGATAGCTATGTTCAATTTCAAGTTCTAAAGGAAAAGATTTGATTTCGTGTTTCTGGTAAGGTGTCAAAAGTCATTACCGGTCAGCCTTCCTCAAGTTTGATTTTTAACGCAGTTTTGCAGCATTGATATCACTCCAACAATCTTTCTCTAACACACATTTAACCAGCAAATTAAGCAGCTACCAAGCCACCATTGATGGCTTCCTTCCTGTTCACTCTCCACTTCTTTCTCTTGCTGTTCCTCTACCAACCTCTATTCTCCATGTCGAATCTCCACAAAAGCAAGGATCTCCTTAGATCAAATCTCCTCTCTCAACTGACCAGCACAATACCCTCCAATGACAACTCACCGACTCTCTACTTTGAAGTAACCAAACCCATCAAACGACCAAATACTAAACCATGCTCATACCTTGTTCTTCAGCATGATTTTGGCTTCACTTATGGAAGACCTCCAGTTCTTGTAAACTACATCCCTCCTCATTGTTACTCGCAAAGTTTCACCAAAATTGTGCTTGAATGGAAGGCAACATGCAAAGGAACACAATTTGATCGCATTTTTGGGATTTGGCTAGGAGGTGTAGAGCTCCTTCGGAGCTGCACAGCAGAGCCTACATCAAATGGAATTGTTTGGACTGTTGAGAAGGATATAACAAGGTACTATTCATTGCTCTTGAAGAAGGGAACACAAACTTTAGCTGTTTTTCTTGGTAACATTGTGGACAGGACTTATACAGGGGTGTACCATGTTAATTTAACATTTCATTTTTATCCTACTGAAAACAATTTGAATGATGATAAGCAGATTTTGAATAACTTGGAATCTGACTCTAAGGCTGATCTGATCTTACCTATTTCTCGAGATCTGCCACTAAATGATGGTTTGTGGTTTGAAGTTCAGGATTCCAATGATACTAAGTTGAAGCAATTCAAAATCCCCCAAAATGTTTACAGGGCTGTATTAGAGGTTTATTTATCTTTTCATGAGAATGATGAGTTCTGGTATGGCAATTTTCCAAATGACTACATTGCTGCAAATAATCTAAGTGGCACTCCTGGAAATGGACCATTTAGAGAGGTTGTAGTCAGTCTTGACGGTAAAGTGGTAGGTGCAGTTTGGCCTTTTACTGTGATCTATACTGGAGGAATTAATCCCCTATTTTGGAGCCCCATTACAGGCATTAGTTCTTTCAACCTCCCTTCTTATGATATTGAAATCACTCCATTTTTAGGCAACATGTTGGATGGAAAATTCCATACATTAGGGTTCAGTGTTACAAACGCCTTGAATGTCTGGTTCATAGATGCTAATTTGCACCTCTGGTTGGATAGCAGGAGTGTGAAAACTGAAGGGAAACTTCTGAAGTGCAATAATAAGGTTGTTGGTGTTTCTGAGGAGTCAGATTTTGAGGGCTTAAATGGAAAGTTCTTGACAAGTGCAAACAGGTTCATATCTTCAACTGGATGGATCAAGTCTTCTTACGGGAATATCACAACTCATTCCATTCAGGACTTCAGTTACAGTAACTCGCTGCAAATTGGTAAGGATGGGAATTTTCAGGTTGTGAATCAGATGATCCATTTCAATGACAGAGTTTATGCAAAGGTGCCATTTCCTTACGTTCATGCTGAGGAATCATTTAAACATTTTCCCCTTCACTTGTACGTGGACTTATCAGAACAAGAAAAGGGAACGTTCCTTTATGTCACGAACGTCACATTAGGATTTAATGAGAAGAAGTACAAGAATGTTGGTTTTAAATTCTTTATCAGCTCTCTGCAAAATTTGCAGGATGCACAAGCAGTTCTTGCTGTGAAAAACCGCTTGATTGTCAATAGATTGGATGTTACACGACAAGTATATGAATACCATGGAAGTGATTTCTGCTACTCCAGGAACATAAGCAGCTCCAACAGCATCATTGATTATG